TGCTTGTTGATAGCCTTTCATGTACTACTAGGTGCAAGAAAGTATCTAAGGCATCATTCTTCAGCAGTAGTAACGCTGGGTCCAATGTGATCCCTAGATTTTTACCTGAGTCCGTGAAAGTCAGCAGAATCCCATTTTGCTGCATTTTGAAGTAGTGGGAGCTTCTAAAAATAAGTTGCTTGACAGTGACAACTGTGGCTCAGCCATCATTTAAATGGTGTGCTACAGCCCTCGTGAAATGGCTAGCCACATTGACAAGGAACGTGACGGGGTTCGTTTTCCTGAACCTCTAGGAGGTGCTTGAAGAGTGTTGTTTCTCTCCATGAGACTTCTCTCCAATGAAGTGACTTAGGACCAAAGTATATGTTAGGGACTTGCCGCAAGATGTCAGTTCCTCTCAGGAGCCCCACTTAGAAGTGCTGCCTGATTCTGGTCAAGGGAGGAGAGGTCCTGCCTTCCCTTTTGTTGTTTCCCTGACCCCAAACAGCATCATTTTGAGTGTATGGGGGGGGGGCAGCCGGAATCAGGCCCTGCCAGAATCAGGCCCCTGCAGCATTTCTAAACAGCTCCCGTGGAGACTTGCAGTGGGTGTCCTGCTGCAATTCCCTGTGGCAGCCCTGTGGCCGATGTGATGTGTAGTTTGGTCCTTGCTGTGTTTGTCTCCATGTTCCACATCTACATGAAGCCTGATGACATCCAGCTCCTTCCTTTTCTTTGTTTTCATCTCTCCTTATATATAATTGAATAGTGGGTGCCAAAGTTCTAATTCTAAAATGCACTCCCTTAGTGTATGGCTGATGGCACTGCTCCTCAGCATATATCGCCACCAATCAGAAGGCAAAGCCCGGGTCCCGCCCACACCACAACTGCTGCGACAACCTGGTCTTTTGCATATGGAAGCTGATTGGACTTCAGTCCATTCCACACCCCAAACTCCCCCGCCCCCGCAAGGTAGTTGGAATTTTCAGTTGCATAACATACCTCATAGGGGAGAGGAGAATGGGTAACAATGGTTACCACTCTCCAGGTGAGGGCTACAGATAACTCAAACATACAAATGCTCTTCAGGTAACAGAGATCAGTCCCTCTGGAGAAAACAGTGGACTCTGTCATTAAACCCTGCTGAGGTCGCCACAGGAAACTGACACTGTTTGCCCAAAGCCAGAGCACTCTCCCAGAGCCTCTTTCTAGATCCCGTTGTATTTATTTCCACAACGGGCATTATTTCTAGTTTTAGATAAAGCAACAGTGGTCCTGATGTTGATAGTTGACTTGGTGAAACAGTTGACTGAGGGATGCCTGTCCGGGGTGGGATTGCATTCTCCCTGAAGGATCAGGCTCCTCATTCAGGGGCGTCTTTGGATCTAGCAGTGCTTCTGGAATCCCAGACACGTTTTTTGCCTGGAGGAGCCTTTTATTAGCTTTGGATGGTTTACCAGCTCTGCTTGCAGCAGGAACAGAGAAATATGACTGCTGTGATTTACTCCTTGTTGACTTCCAGATGAGACTGTTCATTGCAGAGATAGAACTCTCTTTGAAGATGGTCCCAAAAGCCAGTTGTTTCGAAAGTCTGCCTCCCTTACAGAAGGGTGCATTCCCACAACTTTGTTGATTACCCCAGTATTTCTAGAACGTTTATTTATTTGTTTGTTCAACTTCTATCCCGCCCTTCCGCCGAAGAAGCTCAGGGCGGCTCACAGCATTAATAAAACCAACATAGATAAAACAATCAGTCCATAAAGCAACTTTACATAAATACAATAAATGTAAGTAAAAGCGGTTGGGTAAATCATTACAACGAGCCATCAACCACATTGCTAACTACTTATACAGAATACATGTCTTAGCAGGTCAGCAGGCTTGGCTGGCATCCCATCGCTCTGACTGGTATGCCTGGCGGAAAAGCTCCGTCTTCACAGCCCTGCGGAATTGCTGGAGATCTCGGAGGGCCTGGATCTCCCTAGGGAGCTCGTCCCAATATGCTGGTGCAGCTGGCGAAGATGCTCCAGACCTAGAAGCAGTTTATGTTGTCAGTTGTGACCTTTAAAGTTCTTGATAGTTTGGATATTGACTTGCCTACCGAATTTTATGTCTTACAATCTGCCCTGCTCAAAATAGCGTGACAGGTGCATGCAAGGTTGGAGTCCAGCAGGGTTAGGGTCTTCTCAATATTGCTGCTAGGGTCTTCTCTGCATGCTGCTATGCTGTCTCTCTAGAAGTTTGTCTATTAAGTTTACTTGTCTCATATAGGTGGCAGGTGAATACCGTTTTTTATTCTGCCGAGTTCTTGGTGTTGAAATCTTACGATGCTTAACTGTGGTGCTATTTTAGAATAATTATGTGCTTTGAGTTTGGTTCATTGTTTCAGTGCTTTGTCAAACTGCTTTGAGTACTCTCTGCATTGAAGTCTAGTAAACTGTCCAAGTTGGAGTGCTGACCTTTTATTCACCTTGCTCTGTTGATTAGGATTAATACAAGAATCTAGTACCATTCTTCCCAGGGGAACTTTGTATTCTTTAAACAGAAGTTGAATGGTTCTTTGCTTTCGCCAGTATTAATGCTTTAAGATGTGTATAGCAGATAATATCAGAAGGAGAAACATTGTACCGTAATTGATCCTGAAATTCATTTAAATGCAGAGTATACATACTAGGGGATCCAGAATGCAAGATGTAAGTACACTTCTGACTACCACAGCTTATCATGTTTTAACAAGCATCTTATTTAAGGGTGGCTGGAAAACTCTTGTGGATGTCATGTTTTTCAGAGTTAAGATTTTTGCTGCCACAATACATTTTCCTCACCAATCCAAGCTTTAGGTTGGAATTTCCCAGCCTTATATTGGAACCCATCTGTGGCCCTTGCTGGCATGGCAGACTTCATGAACAGAGTTGGTTTCATCCAAAGAATATTGCTCTGAATGCAGATTTATTTATTTATTTATTTATAAATTCAATTTATAGCCCGCCCTCCCCGCTGCGCGGGCTCAGGGCAGCCTACAATCAGGCATAAGCCAACATATAAGACATATTTAAAACCATTTATAAAATCATTCTACAGTATAATGTAGTGCTCTGGATGTTCCGAGTTGATCTTCCACAAGATGACGTATTACTGCTGCTCTACCAACTCAGCGTCATCTGTTCCGGGTAGTCCTGACGTTCTTTCTTCCAGGGCCAGATAGTGATGGTACAGTAGTGGCGGCTCCTCCTCAAACGCCTGGCGGAAGAGCTCCGTCTTGCAGGCCCTGTGGAACTGTGCAAGGTCCCGCAGGGCCTGGATCTCCTCCGGGAGCTTGTTCCACCAGGTAGGAGCCACCACCAAAAAAACCTTGGCCCTGGTAGCGGCTAGCCTGGCCTCCTTGGGGCCTGGCATCACCAAGAAATGTTGCGTCCCCAACCGTAGTGCTCACGGGGGAACATATGAGGATGCCAAGGGTTGTCTCCAGCTAGCTTTTCTGCAGGAGAGATTGCCTTTAACCATCCAAAAAGACTATGCTGGGAGTTGTGGGACCTCCATGGACAAAAGCCACATGGAATGGGTGATGTAGAAAGGAGGGAAATCAGGCAAGGTTGAGTTTGTTTGGCTGTAAATCTGCTAATATATTCTGTAGCGCACACATAAGGGTTAGACCTTGTAACTGTTATTTAACCTGTTATTTAACTGCTATTACCCTGCAGTCAGTGTTCCCTCTAAGCTGAGTTAGTGTGAGCTAGCTCAGTTTTTTAGACTCCAGCACACACATTTTTGTCTTAGCTCAGGAAAGATGGCTCCAGACTAACTTATGCAGGAGCCAAATCGCTGGCTCACAACTTTAATGCCAGTAGCTCACAAAGTAGAATTTTTGCTCACAAAACTCCACAGCTTAGAGGGAGCATTGCCTGTGGTGTTTCCAAAATTTGTGTTTATGGTTTCCTCAGCCTATAATTTCTGCCTTGTCCACTCTTTGGGCTTCCTACATTCCTATATGTGTAACATTGGCCAATTTGTGTCACGTTCATAAAAACTTATTTCCTGTTGTCAATGTCAAAATGCCTAAAGCAATTGGAAATAAAAACATCTCAGGTGGGCATACATTTATTGTCATTCTGTGTTCCAGTGAAACTATGTCGGGGGGTTAAGAATGCTTACGCCCAGTGTTTGTGAATCCGTCCTGAAACTAGAGTGCAGCAGGCGAATGGAGCAGTGTCTGGATGTGTTGTGCAGAGCAAGCATGAGAAACGGGTGGTCTCCGTTTGGGTGTGTGAGTCAAAATGGACAAAAACGGTTTTAAAGGCAGGCTGTATTGCGTGTGTTAGAGAAGTGGTGCAAAGCGCCCGTTTGCGTCTGTTCAGTGGGTGAAATTCCATCTCTTTAGGCCTCTCAGGGGCAGTCTGTCAGTGTGCTGCTGCTGCTGCTCCTTTAGAACGATGGAGCAGTTTGTCCAGGTGGGGCGGGCGTGTCGGTCCGAAGCAGCAGAACAAAGTCTGAGTGGGGGGGGGGGCACCACCGAGACCCACAAAGGCTTATTCAAAGCTCTCGTGTGCAGGCACACTTCCTCAGGCAAAGTGGAATAAAAGCTCCTCAAGTTTATTTTATTTATTTATTCACAGGGGGAAAAGAGGGTTGGGGGCATCCGTTAGAAAGGGCCACTCAAAGCCAAGATGCATTTCGAGAGCTGAGATTGGATCAGGTGGCCGGTGAGATCAATGAAAGGCAGCAAATTTGCACGTAGATGCAAGCATTAACAAAGAGATGTGAGAAGGAAGCTAGAATCCAGTAGTGGCACCCCACCACCCCCCCCCCCCCACC